CGGGTGGTTAGAAGCGGTGTGATGATGTTGAGGGCCGTGTGGCGCTGAAGGGATGTGATGGCCGCCGATGTGGCCTAAGACCAGCGGGGAGGGCAGTCGGGAGTTGAGGTGGAGCGGATGGATGGATGGGTGGGTGGTGGGCCGGTGAAAAGTGGTGTGGTGTTTGGGATTCGCGTCCCTACGTAATTGAATTCTATCTCGCAAATACTTCTTTGCGCGCTTGCAAAAGTCGTCCATGCCTCTTACTACCAGCTGCCTCCTACTCAATTCGACTAGGATTCCATTTATCACGCCAAAAGTACTACAGACCCTTAGCAAATGCAGCCTCCAACCTTTGTCGTCCTACCTCTCTCTCTCTCTCTATCTGTGTGCGCGCGTGTGTGTGTAAACTTAACCAACTTGCGCTTCCCCAACTTCCCACGACGTTGGATTTGAAGTTCCGTGCAATCCTTAAAGCAACACCGCTGCGATGAGATGCCGAATGAAAGGACAGGCCTCCTGTATAGCTCGTCTGTTTGCTCTTGTGTGGGTGCCAATACTGCTGCTGCTGCTGCTGCTGCCGCTGCTCTGCAGCTTCTACCACCACCACCACCACCATAACCACCACCACCACTACTACTACTACTACTGCTACTAGATTGCTTCGAATCTGGCCGCAAGCCTGTTACTGCAAGACCGCATAATTATCGCGTGTTTAACTACTGCAGTGCTGTGTCTGCACTGATGTTGGCATCTTCGTTAGTTAGTGTGCTCTAGCGTTGGCGCTACTACTTCAATGCCAGCGCAAGTAATGCCTGATGTCGTAGTGTTGCTTGTCCGAGCAACAGTAGAGGTTCGGCATGGCTTAACATGGTTTGGTTCTCTCTCTCCGACAGAACCAATCACCACGAGAGACTGGCGCCATGCGCCAATGGAGTGGGCGCACAGGCGAGAGTTAAGTCTGAACCAATAGCGTTTGTCGCATCGTCTGGAGGTGTGTGGACATATAAAAGGGTGGCACGGGCACCAGGTCCCAATGAACCACTGTTCACTAGCTGTGCGGGCGACAACAGCACACTGAGTGGAAGAGGCAAAGGTAAGGCAATGCCATTTTTTACAGCTATTATTCTGGCTACTTTTATTATTGTTACTTTTGAAATCCAGTCTGTGGGATTGCCGTTGATTTG